TGCCTTCCCAACATCCCCCCCATCCTGAAACAATCAAAATGCTTTCTGTATCTATGAGTTTGTTTCTGTTTTGATTGTTCATTTATCCTGTTCCTTAGATTCCACATATAAGTGATCATATAACATTTGTCTTTCTCTGTCTGACTTACTCCACTCAGCATAATACCCACTAGATCAGCAGTTCTCAACCTTTCTAATGCCGTGACCCCTTAATACGGTTCCTCATGTTGTGGTGACCCCCAACCATAAAATTATTTTTGTTGTTACTCTATAACTGTAATTTTGCTACTGTTATGAATCATAATGTAAGTACCTTTTTGTTTTCCGATGGTCTTAGGCGACCCCTGTGAAAGGGTTGTTTGACCCCCAAAGGGTCGCAACCCACAGGTTGAGAATCGCTGCACTAGATCCATCCAAGTTGTTGCAGATGTCATTCTTTTTGATGGCTGAGTTACAATATCCATTTTATATATATATATATATATATATATATATATATATATATATATATATATATCTCTTTATTCATTCATCAATTGATGGACACCCAGGCTGAGTCCACATCTTGGCCATTCTAAGCAATGCTGTAATGAATATATGGATGTACATGTCCCTTCAAAGTAGTGTTTTGGGTTTTTTCAGATACATACCCACAAGTGGAATTTTTGAGTCCTTCTTTGTTTCTTGTTACACTTTTGGTTTAAAGTCTATTTTAGCTAAGTTTTCTACCTCAGGTTTTTGTTTTTGTTTCCATTTTCATGAAATATCTTTTTCCATCTCTTTAGTTTCAGTCTGTGTGTATCTTTCAATCTGAAGTGAGTCTCTTGTAGGCAGCATATGTAAGGGTTTTGTTTTCTTATCCATTCAGTCACCCTATGTCTTTAGATTGGAACATTTAATCCATTTACATATAAAGTAATTGTTGATAGGTATGTAGTTACTGCAATTTTATTACTCATATTTTTTATCTTTTTCTTCTTAAAGAAGTCCCTTTAACATTTCTTGTAATATTGACTTGGTGGTGATTAACTCTTTTAGCTTTTTCTGGTCTGGGAAGTTCATTATCTGTCCTTTCATTCCAAATGATAGATTCACCGGGTAGGATAATCTTGTTGTAGGGCTTTGCTTTTCATCACTTTGAATATTTCATGCCAATCCCTTCTGGCCTGCAAAGTGTCTGTTGAGAAATCAGCTGAGAGTCTTAGGGGAGCTCCCTTGTAGGTAACTAACTGCATTTCTCTTGCTGCTTTTAAGGTCTTCTGTTTGTCTTTAATCTTTGGCATTTTAATTATGATGTGTCTTAGTGTGGGCCTTTTTGGGTTCATCTTGTTTGGGACTTTCTGCACTTCCTAGGCTTGTATGTCTATTTCCTTCACCAGGTTAGGGACGTTTTCTATCATTATTTCTTCAAATAGGTTTTCAATTCCTTGCTCTCTCTCTTCTCCTTCTGGTCCCCCTGTGATGTGAATGTTGGTATGCTTGATGTTGTCCCAGAGGCCCCTTAAACTATCCTAATTTTTTCTTTTTCCTTTTTGCTATTATGATTGTGTTTTTGCTGCCTTTTCTTCCAAATCACTGATTTGAACCTCTGCTTCATGTAATCTACTGTGGATTCCTTCTAATGTATTATTCACTTCAGCTGTTGTAGTCTTCATTTCTGACTGGTTCTTTTTTATGTTTTATATCTCCATTTTTATGTTTTCTATATCTTTGTTGAAGTTTTCCCTGAGGTCATTGAGCATCCTTGTAACCAGTGTTTTGAACTCTGCATCTGACAGATTGCTCATCTCCATTTTGTTTAGTTCTTTTTCTGGAGTTTTGTTCTGTTCTTTCATTTGGGACATGTTTCTTTGTCTCCTCATTTTGGCTGCCTCCCTGTGTTTGTTTCTATATTAGGTAGGGCTGCTATGTCTCCTAGTCTTGGTAGAATGGCCTTATGAAGTAGGTGTCCTGTGGGGCCCAGTGGCACAGTCTACCTGGTCACCAGAGCCAGGTGTTCCTTGTGTGGGTTGTGTGTGCCCTCCTGTTGAAGTTGAACCTTGGTTGCTGTTTGCACATCAGTGGGAGGGATTGACCCTCAGGCTGATTGGTTGTGAGGACTGGCTGTGACTACAGTGGAGGAGCTGTTGTACAGTTACTGACCCTGTGGATCAGGATTTACCTTAGCAGGGCTCTGGTGCCTTCCCAGTCTGCCCTTTGGGTGTGTCTTTTGTGGATGTGGTTGTTTGGTGCTCTGGTGTGGTCTGAAGCTGGCCACTAGGAGTGTTGATTCTGGGGTCTCATGGGAGGGGCTTTGTTGCTGGCCAAGTTCAGCTGCTCCCTGTGCCCTGCCTGGGGCAACTTGGTATGAGCTACAAAGTGATCTACAGATGGTTGCCACTTGTGCTGGGCTTGGAGGTGCCTGGGAGAACCTAAGCTGTGAAGTGAGGCTGGCTACCACTAGTTTCAGACTTGGGGATTCTTAGCAAGAGGTATAGGACATGCTGAGGTCAGTTGCTTCTTGTTTGGGGTTTGTGAACCTTTGAGAGATTTTAGGAGAGTCTGCAGCATGAGCCAAGACAGGCTGTTGGTATGGACAAGACACTAGAAGTTATGTGTGGGGGACCCTCAAGTTGGGTGGGGTGAGGTCTCGAGGAATCACCAGGGCAGCACAAAGGGTGTTAGCCAGATTCATGGAAACTCAGATATGTCACCAGTTCTGTCTGCATGGTGGGTGGGAGCACGCTCAACAAAGGAGCTTTGGCTTCTGCCAGCACTTCTGTGTGGGAGAAAGCTTCCCCTCCTGCCCTTGCCTTGAAGCCAGACAATTCAGTTCCTTTTCATACATCCCTGGCAACTTTTGAGCTGCTGCCCCAGTGCTAGAGCTCAGAACAAGTGATTCCATCAGCGAGTAAGTCCATGCACAGGCCCTTTAAGAGGAACGCCTGGAACACTGGCTGCTCACTGTCTCACTCAGCCACAGTGTCCGCTGGTTTTCACAGACAGAAGCTGTGGGGACTTCTTTTCCTGGCTCTGGAACCCTGGGCTGGGGAGCCTGGTGTGGGGGGGCTGGGACTCCTCACTCCTCAGGAAGGACCTCCACAGCTGAGATAACCCTCCTGATTTTTAACCACCACATGTGGGTATAAGGACCAGCCCGTTCCACGTCTCCACCCCTCCTACCTAAATGTCGTCTTGTTAACCTCTGACCCATCTCCCACCTTAGAGAAGGTATTGACAGTGATGTCAAACCTGGTGTCCACTGGCATCTGGCAGAGCTGGGATTTGTGTTCTCCTGCTCTGCCTTTCCTATTCTTGCTACAGCCCTGAACTCCCCGACCCAACCCTCTGCATAAACAACATGTGTCGTTTAAAGAGTGCCTGCTCAGGAGAGGCCTCTGCCACAGCTACAGAATAGAAGCCTGGAAACAGTTGCTGCCCTCAAGGAGTACACAGGCTAGTTGGATCAAAGGGCATGTGCCTCAAAATAGTAAATAGGGTGACATTTGATAAAGGGCCAAATGAGTGGTGCAGACAGTTGCTGGTGAAGAGTGAGGAGAAATTGGAGAGGCCCATAGGCTGGGCCAGTCTTTGGGCAAGGAGGACAGGGCCTTGAAGACTGGCCAGGTTTAAAAGAGAGGATTGCGTGGGGAGGGGGAGACACAAGACGTGGAGGGAAGACTCTCTCCTCTGTCAGCCCACTGGTTTCCTCGCAATGTTGAAACTAAACACCAAACCCCCGCTTAATGGAGCAGTTAAAGACAAATGTGACCACAAAGAGCTACCGCCTCACATCCATTAGGATGGCCATCATCAGAAAACCAGAAAATAACAAGTGCTGGCAAGGATGTGGAGAAATTGGAACCCTTGTGCATTGCTGGTGGGAATGTAAAATGGTGCAGTCTCTATGGAAAATAGCAAGGCCATTCCTCAAAAAATAAAACTTGAATGATCATATGATCCAGCAATTCTACTTCTGAGTATATACCCAAAAGAGTTGAAAGCAGGGGCTCAAGCAGATATTTGCACACCCATGTTCCTAGCAGCATTAGGCACAATAGCCAAAGGTGGGAACAACCCATTAATGGATGAATGAATAAGCAAAATGTGATATATCGAGATAGACAAATCACAATGGAATATTATTCAGCCTTAAAAGGGAAAGAAATTCTGACACATGCTACAATATAGAAGAACCTTGAAGTTATTATGCTAAGTGAAAGAAGCCAGCCACAAAAGGACAAATATTGTATGATTCCACTCAAATGAGTTACCTAGAGTAGTCAACTTTATAGACAGAAAGTAGACTGGTGGCCAGGGTCTGGGGAGGGGATGAGAGTTAGTGTTTAATGAACATGGAGTTTCAGTTTGGGATGATGAAAAAGGTTTGGAGATGGATGGTGGTGGTGGTTGCACAACAGTATGAATATGCTTACTATCACTTAATTGTACACTTAAAAATGCCTAAAATGGTAAATTTTATGTTGTGTGTTTGTGAACACACACACATAAAAGATAAATGTGATAGCTTGCTTAGAAAGATATCAGAAATATGATGTGGAACTGCTTAAGAAGTTGCGGGGAGAGATGGGGACCCCAGTGGATGAGCCTGGTGAGAAATCAGCTAGTAGCCTAGAAATGGGGGTTATCGGTGGGCCAGGACACCTGACGCACTGACCACAGATAATTCAAAAAAATTCTTACAGGGAGTGTATTAGACACTTCCTTCCAAGTAGCATTCGAGTAGAGTTACTCAGAGGAAGCCAGTGGGGTTGTTTGTTTTCTTGCTTTTATTTCTCATGCCCACATGGCCAAGGTAAGGAATGTGGAATAAAGTGATGAACAGGGAATAAGGTCAAGATTATGGTTGGTAACCCAAGAAAAGATAGAGGCACGTTTGAAACCCATTCCACCCAGGTCACTTCAGAGACTTGGGCTGGCTGGTGGGAAGGCAGCAGGAGAGCCTCTCTGCCTCCCCACGTCCCTCTCTCCCTCACTTGTCTCCTTTGTATCCCCAGTAGCTGGCTCCAGTCTGAGCCATGGCTTCCGCGGAGCCCCTGACAGCGCTGTCTCGCTGGTACCTGTATGCTATCCACGGCTACTTCTGCGAGGTGATGTTCACGGCGGCCTGGGAGTTCGTGGTGAACTTTAACTGGAAGTTCCCAGGGGTCACGAGTGTGTGGGCGCTCTTCATCTACGGCACGTCCATTCTGATCGTGGAGCGCATGTACCTGCGACTGCGGGGCCGCTGCCCGCTGCTGGTGCGCTGCCTCATCTACACGCTTTGGACCTACCTGTGGGAGTTCACCACCGGCTTCATTCTGCGCCAGTTCAACGCCTGCCCCTGGGACTACTCCCAGTTCGACTTTGACTTCATGGGCCTCATCACCCTGGAGTACGCTGTGCCCTGGTTCTGTGGGTCCCTCATCATGGAGCAGTTCATCATCCGCAACACCCTCCGCCTCCGCTTTGACAAGGATGCAGAGCCCGGGTTGCCCGGAGGCCCCCTGGCCCTGGCCAATGGCCACATCAAGACTGATTGAGTGGGGGGGCTTGTGGGGGGGGTGTGGAGGTGGGGTCACTCATGGACCCTGTGGAGAAAGGTACCAAGCTGGTGGCGTTGCTCCTCCTGTACAGCACAAGCCCTGCCCCATACCGGCCTCATTCCTGTAGGGCACACACTGCCCCCATTACCTCCACCGTGGGTGGGTGTTGGGGTCATGGTCAGGTGTTGGGGGCGGGGTGTGGAGGCAGCAGAAGGACTTTGGAAATAGTCCATGGAACTCCGTCCAGCTCAGAGGCAGGCGGCAGGAGACCTGTGGCTTAGCAACGACCAGGCTACATGGGTGACTTTGGAAGCAGCAGGCCCTGTCCTGGCTAAGGGACTCAGAAGTGGGGCAAAAGGGGAGGCCAGGTCTGAGGAGGCTTTGGGCTGCTGCCTCGGCCACCTGGTGCCCTCTCACCTGGTTTAGTTGGGCTTTGGCTGGTTCCATTAGGCAATATTCAGGTGCTTGCTTGCAACCAATACCTCCCCGGGGGACTGCTGAGCTGCAGCCTAAGGAGAGACGGCAGCCAGGAGGCTGCTTGGCAGCCATGCTGGTCTGCAAGGGCTGGGAGGCCTGCCCTCGGCTCCTCTCCCCCCCCCCCAGGGCCCCACGCTGCTTTCTTGGCCTTCTGGGGGCCCCCTGGTGCTGGATTCCCACCAACTTTGGTCTTTTGGAGGTTTCAATCCCTGTGTGTTTGGTGGCGTTTCCCCCCTTTTCTCTCTTATTTTCAAGGCCTTTATCTATGTCAATCACCCCACCAATACCCAACCCCAACCCCAACTCCCCAGCCAACATAGCAGCTACCAGAGATAGAACCCTGAGACAGACCCTGCCTGCCCTCCACAGCCTTCCCTCCGCTACTACCCCAGTCTGGTGGGCTGTGCAGTGCCCCTGGTGCTCTCCTCCATCCATGCCGCCTCCCCACAGTGGCCCAGCGAAAACGCGAATGATACCCGCAACACACAGTCAGGCCAAGATGGGCCTCACAGATCCACAAATGGGGACCTAAAGACAAATCAGTGTGTATGTGTGGTGGGGGGAGGGAAGGGCGTACCTGACTGGTTTATTTCAAGCCAGTCAGGGGCAATCTAGCATTCTAGGGGATGGAAGAGCAGTATCCACTGTTGGAGACCCATGGAGAATGAGGGAGTGAGAAAAAGATGAAGGCCTCTCAGCTTTGGGAGGTCTTTGGAGCATCCTTGGTGGGAAGGGGTCAGTTCTGGTTCTGCCATAGCCCCAGCCCTGCAGCAAAACCTCCTCAGGACTACCCACTCCACATCCCTCTCAGCAATGCTGACACTTTGAGCTTGCTCCTTAAACAGTATTAACCCTGCCACACTCATGAGCATTGTCATCTTGGTTGGCCTGCCTTCCCCTATGACAGGTATGTTGCTGGCAGTGGACAGGTGAAATCCTCATTCCAGCCCACTTCCAGCTCTGCCCCTACTCCCCAACGGGAGGGGTCCATCAGAACGCAGCCTATCCCATGGTACGCCATCTCTTCTTGACCACACTAGGACTCTTAGGTAGAAAGTAGCCTTTCCTTTTTTACAGAACATTAAAAAGTGATTAACATCACCTGTGGAGAGAATCTCCTCTTCCTTGCTATGTTGCTCCATCTAGATTGTGTAGACAGCACCGGGCCAGGACAGGTGGGATGGGCGTGGGCAGGAGTCATGTCCCAGAGTGGGAGAAAGGCTGGGAGACTCTGCCTTTGGTAGGGCTGCTTTCTGCAGCTGACCCTGTCCTGGACAGGATGAAGAGCATTTCCCAGACTCTGTGTCCTGGGCAGGCTCCTCAAATCCAGGCACGAACTACATTCCGCAGGGACCAGCCCTACCTTTGATTTTACAGTGGCCCCAATTCCAAGGCTTTGGGGCTTCCAGGGATCCAGGCTTCCAGTGAGGTTAGGTGGTTTTCTATCAACAGATGGAGGGAATTCCAGAGGAAGAATATTGTCCGGCTTCCCGGTTCCCTCTGTCATTGTTTCCTTGGTACTCTCCCCCAACCAGGGGGATCTCAGGCTCCTGGATCCCAACACCCCTGCGGCCCCCCATGTGAGCCCCTAGACCTCACAGCCCACCTTTGCTCTCCCCTTCCATGGTGGAATCTGGTGGTCAGCTTGGTGATGTCTCCCAGCATAAGGCCTCCAGAATTCTCAACCTGATCAAGCCCTTGGATGGCCCACCAGGTCTGGCCACTCCTGATGTTGCCCTATGGGCATTCCTTGGCACCACCTTCTCTCTAGGCCCTATAAACTTCCAAATATAGGGGGTTCCAGAGTAAACCTGCCCGCCTGGCACTGTGTTTCTGCTTCTTTCAGGGGCCACATGGCTCCTATTGTCGCTTGTAGGGCACAGATCCCCCCAGCAAAGGGAGGCAATAAGTCAGGGCTTGACCACAGGGTCTGTTGGTTCAGAGCTCGCCAGTGATAGCCTAGACTTCAGCTCTTCTTTTTTGGGTATCTTCAGGGCCCCAAATCCCTTAGTGCCCAGGGACTAAAACTTCGGAGTAATCCCAGCCCTGCTGAGCAGTGGGGGTGCTGGGAGGGGGAGTCGGCTTGCTGTTTATGAATCTCTGGTACTCTGGGCCTCTGTCCACTGGCCACAGCAGCATCGTGAGCTACAGATCGCCATGTGTGCTGCCCTGCATGGTTGAACCGCTTCTGATGTCTGCTAGGCATCCTGTCCCTTGTGCCCTGTTCCCTCTGATGCCAGTGAGTCACAATGGCATCACAATAGCCTATGCTTATTCTCAGCAATAATTCCTAGGGAGTGCCCATGAGTCTTGTTGTCCTGGTCCCTTGCCCTCTGCATGGGTCTCCTGGGGAGGCAGCCACTGAGTGGGTCGGTTCACGAGAACCTGTATTTATGAAGCTCTGGGCTGTACAGACATAATTGCAGGGGATGCAGAGGGAGGCCCAGCCCCAGAGGAGCTATGGCTAAGGCAGGGAGAGTACCTTCCACCCTGGGGCCACCCTAGACTTGTTCCTGTCTCTGCAAAGGGCTTTTGAGGTGGGTGGGACTGTCTCCCACCCCTGGCAGCTATTCGGAAGGACACACAGCTGGTTTGTGCACCCATTGCCTGCTCTGTCTCCGTTGGTCTCTTTGTCTCTTTCTTTTCACATTCATGCACATAAAATATACTGGTGTTTGTGTTCCAGGACTGGTTCTGACCCATCTCTGTTTCTTCTATTTTGGAGCCCCTTTTCTAGAGGTTGCTGGAGGCCAGGCCCTTTACACCCTGGCATCATGCTGTCCTGAACCAAGAAGATTGCTGGGTGGAGTCACCCTGTGGGGAGGGCAGCTGGTACTTTTGCCAGTCTTCTTCACTGTCTCTGCTCTGGCCCTCTCTGGTAACCTGAGTTCTCCACCCAACCCCCCAACCCCCACCAGCAGCATAATCTGCTCCAGACCTTACTTTGGTCCCAGGCTACAAGGCAGATGGGGGAGTCCTGGGCAATATCCAGGACAACTCAAAGGCATTCTCGCATTTTCTCCAGTCTGAGATAGGCACATTCCCTATTTTATAGCAGAGGTCTGGTGGCAACCAGCTTGCAACCCCGATTTACTATGTCATTCATTTGTTTCAATGTAAGCAGAAGACACTTTTGGAAGGATTTGTGATGAGTCAGGTATCCTTTTGTACTTTGATGAGATTTGGATGTCAGTTAGAGTCCAGCCCATCCAAATGCTATTCACAAAGAGAGATTAGTGTTTAGGAGTGGGAGAGTTGGGGGAGAGATGGGGTTATGAGGAAGGAGGTATGGGAGGCCATTTTAGCCAAGACAAACAATTGGCACAAGGATCCCTCTTTGTGGAGGGAGGGTTGTGAAATTTCGGCCTCTTGCAACCCTGGGTTTAAGGTCAACACCTCTCCCTCTTACATACATTTTGTTTATGCTCTGGGCCTTTTCCCTTTGACCCTATTTCCTTCTCTTGAGATTAATCCTGGGCCCCTAACTGTAGGTGTTCTCAGAGGGTTTGAAGCTACCAGATGATATCTTTCTCCTTCCGAAAACTCAGATGGGCCTGAGAATTGACCTGGTTAGTTATTCAGTTTCTTATTGGACAGCTACAGTGAGTGAGCTGGGGACCAGGCTGGATATTGGGGAGCTCGCTGAGGAGAAGGACGCTGCATGGATGCTCACGCAGATTGTTATATCACTATGATGTTGATAGTCCTCCAAAGAAGAAGTCCCCAACAGAGGACTCTGACTCGTCTACAGGGATAGGAAAGGGTTCCCCAGGGAAGAGACACTGCAGACCTGAATGTTGAGAGTGGGCTGGCTTCTCGCTGTCTGGAAATGCAGATGCTGACCGTGCCCTGGGAGTTGCCTAAATGGGTACAGTGCAAAACAGAGCCAGCACACAGTGGGTGCTCTAAAGAACTCTCGATAAATGAAGTCTTGTGGATGGTCAGCCTCAGTAAGCCTACCCTAAAGGCCAGGCTAAATGTTTTAGAGCACCAAAGCTCCTTTGGGAAACTGAAGCTAGGAATCCTGTATGAACAACCACCCCTGCCATACCTGTGCCTACCACCACAGAGCAACTCACTGTCCTACTTTCCATTTCCAAACTATTAGTTCCTGCAGAGCCCTGCCCGCATCCCAGCTTCACTCAGTTTTTGCACCTTGGCCAAAGACCCAGCTCCATTGATCTGTCTGTCCATTGCTTCACGCTGGGGATACACTTCCTTGATGTGGGAAAAAATGTCCTTTCAGTGCCAAGCGGTGCAGAGAAGGGTCCACTGATGCCTGATCTGGCTCCTTGCCTGTCACCATCACAACTTCCAAACAGAAAGGAGGCTTTCTGCTTTATCAGGGTCTGCTGATGACGAAGCGTCCTGAGGCTGAAACTTCTGAGTTTGAGAATGGGGTTATATTAGTTTTCTAGGGCTACAATAACAAAGTATCACAGATAGGGTGGCCTAAAGCAACAGAAATATATTCTCTTACAATTCTGGAGGTCAGAAGTCCAAAATCAAGGTGTCAACAGGAAGCTCTGGAGGCTTTAGGGGAGAATCATTCTGTGTCTTGTCCAGCGTCTGTGGCATTTCTCGGCTTCCTATGGCAGCATCACCCCAAGCTCTGCTCTGTGGCCATGCGGCCTCTTCCTCTTCTGCCTCTTCTAAAGACATTTACCATTGGATTGAAGGCTCATCTAGATAATCCAGGATGACCTCATCACAAAATCCTTAATTTAATTATACCTGCAAAGACCCTTTTTCCAAATAAAGTCACATTTGCGTGTTCCAGTGATTTGGATGTGGACATTATCTTTTGGCGGGGGGCACCCTTCAACCCACCAGGGGGGTTAAGAAGGAAGATTTCTGTTGAAGTCCTTGTATCCTGTACCCATTTAGGAATTCATTAAGAGAGAGAGAGCTAGAATACAGTGTGGGGTAACCCAGGAGAGAACTCAAGGATTTAGGTTGAGGATGGAGCTCTGCATCCCAAGACACATCCTATAGCTGCTGTGATTTTTCTGTTTAGATATAGATCTGACCATCCCCCCCCCGCTTCCCCCCCGCAGAAGCTTTAGTGGTTTCCCAATACCTTGAGGATCAAGCTCACCGCCCTAGCAAAGTTTACACAGCCCTTTGTGATTTGGCCTCATTTCTCGCCTCCCCCTCAATCTCATGCAATCCAGGGAGAATGACTTGTAGTTTCCCCAGCAGCTCCATGATCATTGCCTCTGGGTCTCCAGCCCCTGTGTTCCTCTCCCTGGAACACTCTCATTTCTTCTCTTAGCCCAACTACGACTGATGAGCTCACTTACAGCCAGCAACTTTGGGCTCTGTTTACTTTGAGCTCTCCCTGGCCCCAGCTCTCAATTTAGTTCAGGCAAACTCAGGATGAGAGGTGTCTCCCTGGAAACTATCCATGTGTGGCCCACCAGCAGCAGTAGCTAAGTTCTCCCAGTGCTGTTGGTGCAGCCGACTTCCATTTGCACATTCACCCTACCATGTGTCAGGTTTGGAGCAAAGCCTATGGGACAGTGGTGAACAAGGCAGACTCAGTCCCTGTCCTCCCTGCGTGACGCCTTCACCTGACTTACAGGATGCTGAGAATTCTGATGGGCTGACTTAGGGGACAAGGAATTAACTTCATTTAGGGGGTCAGGAAATATTTGTATGTCTGATATAGCCAGGGGGAGGGGTGACGTGGGAGGTGCGGTGAAGAGCAGACCTCCAGGTAGAAAAGACATGTGCAAAAGCTGGGAACCCAAAGAGAGCAGGGTACTCATGGGTTTGCAGAAGCAGCCAGGGGTGAATGATGGAGTCCACAGGAAGCCAGGCCTGGATCATAATGTCTGTAAACCAAGGCAGGGAGAGACATGATAAACAGACAAGAAATAACAGGTTGTAATACATTCAAGCAGAGAGTTGTGCAAATGAACGGGAACGCCTTTAGATTGGGTGGCCCCAAAAGTTCTTTGGGAAGAGATAATATTTGGGTTGAGACCTGGATAATAAGGAGAGTCAGCCATGTGAACATAAGGAAAGAGTATTTCATGCAGAGGAAAGAGCTAGGACAAAAGCCCAAAGATGGGGATGAGTTTAGATAGTCTGAGAAGTAGATGAAAGGCTGGTATGGCTGGAGCTTGGTGAGAAAGGGGGTGAGGAGGAATATAGCATGTAGGTGATAGAGATGGGCCGGGGTCAGAGTGTAGGGCTCTGGAGGCCTGCTGGGAGGAGATAGGGAGAGGTGGCTGTGAGATCTTTTAAGGACAGAGAATTGCTGGGCCTGGCCCAGCCCCTTTCAGGGAACACCTCCTGAGGGCCAGGGCCAGGCATGGGAAAACTGTAGGCAGAGCCTGAGGTCCCATATACCACTAGCATCTGTCCTTTTAGAGGCTGGGTCATGGCTGGGTGTCAGCATAACTAAAAGGTGGGTCTGTTTGCTTTCTGCAAACCCTTCTCTCTACCTGTATGTAAGCCCTTATCTCTCTCTCTCTCTCTCTCTCTCTCTCTCTCTCTCTCTCTCTC